GGGGAGGAGGGGAAGGGAGGGGAGGAGGGAGGGGAGGAAGGTGAGAAGGGGAATGAGGGGGGAGGAGGAGGGAGAGGAGGGGGAGGAAGAGGAGAGGAGGGGGGAGGAGGAAGAAGAAGCAGGGAGAGGAGGGGGAGAAAGGAGGAAGAGGGGGAGCAGGGAGAGGAGGAGAAAACGGAAGCTGGCCATAGGAAAATAGAAAAGGACATAGTATATATGGAGTAACAACATTAAGTATGAGAGTTTAAAAAAAAAAAAGAATGAGAGTTAATTTTTCCATTGGAAACAATGGATTCCAGATGACAGCAGAACATCTTTAAACAACTAAAAGAAAAAAGAACACTTGTTAACTTAAATTTTTTTATCTAGAAAATAAATATTTCAAAAAAATAAATAAAAATTAAAAAAAGAAAATATTTCAGACACATGTAAGATAAGACAGCTCATTTCTGCTAGAATTTCACTCTAGTACATGGTAAATGGTAGGGAAATCATGGAAATTCCTATCTACAAAAAAGAATAAAAACATCAAAAATGGTAAATATGCGAGTACACATAAATGATTAATTTTTTTCCTGTAATTTCCTTAAAAGACAACAGATAGTTTAAAGCAAATAATAATAATAATAATAATAATAATAATAATAATAACATTTTCAGGTGAATTGGTAATGTAGGTAGAAGTAAAAGAGTAAAATCAGAATGTAAAGAAAAGGTAAATTGAATTATGTATTGTTTATTTCCTATGTTTGTGAAATGGCAAATTTAAGTATTAAGTAGGAAGAATGAAGTAGGAAGTAGGGAAGGTGTGAAGAGACATATTGCTTCCAAAATTATTTAGGTAGCAAGGCATATTATGCGGGCAAGGTGGCATATGCCTATAAACTCAGTACTCGGAGGCTGAGGCAGGAGGACTGCCATGAGCTCAAGCCAGACTGCGTGACATATGGAGACCCTATGTCAAAAGGAGGAAAGAAGGCATATTACTAACCATAGAAAAGTCACTAAATAATAAATGATAAAGAGTAACTAAAGAGTCAGTAAATACAGTGAGATATTAAAAAATATTAAGTTGTAAAAAAGGAGCCAATACTGTTGCAAAGATATAAGAATAGAAGAAACATAGGACACACTATAATGGACATTAAATGAAGAAAATTAAGGGCTGGGGAGGTAGCTCAGTAGAATAAGCACTTGCCTGGCAAGTGCAGGGTCCTGAGTTCAATCCCCCAAATCCCCAGTACTGGAGAAAAAAAGAAAGAAAGAAAGAAAGAAAATCAATAATTATATTAAATGTGAATGGACTAAAGCTCCAAATAAAAAAGAACATTGTCAGAGTAGATTTAAAAAAAAAAAAAATTAAGACCTAGCTATACACTAAGAGATTCACTTTAATGTAAAAATTATAGGGCTGGGGAATGTAGCGTGAAGTAGTAGAATTTTTATTTAACTGTGTGAGGCCCTAGTTTGATCCCCAGTACCAGAAATACATAATAAATAAACACAGATAGATTAAAGGGTCTTTTAAAAATTATTTATTTATTTTTTAATGTACTTTAGTACAGGGTCTTACAAGTTCTCACTACATAGATCAGATTCACTGATCCTCCTGTCTTCAGCCTCCCAAGCGCTGGGATTACAGGCGTGAGCCACCACGCCCAGTCTCAATGGCTGTCTCAGCACACCCTGGAGGCGGGGCCAGCACCGAACTGGTGACTGCGTTGCCTAAGCAGGCACTTTAATCCACTGAGCTATCTGGCTGGCCCAATAACAGAGCAATTTAAGCTATCTCACAATGAAAACATTCAATTCCTCAGGAAGACTTGAAAGTTCTAGAACAGACAAATATATGAAGAAACTAGTGGAAAACAGCAAATACAAAAACACAGTGTGAGATGTAATACTCCTTTCTCAATAATTAATGGAATAGTTGCAAGGAAGTAAAAGCTTGACAAGTCCCACAACCACACCGATCTTTTCAGAACATTATGCCCACCAAGCGCTAAATGTACTGGTTTCCAAGTGCAAGGGTGTTACAGTTTATACCTAGATGTCCTCATGCGTTCATAGGAGGTATGTACTGGTTGATACATTGTGTCAGCTTCAGAAGTTTAAAAGTTTAATTAAGTGACTCAGCAGAGAAGCAGGATTCTTTGTAAACATCCTCATCCTGTGCAGGGGGAGGACATGGACCTTGTGTGAGTTCTATACTCCCAGCCTCAGGGTAGCTTGTTTGTAATTTAAGGAGGGCAGAGAGGCTGGCTAGAAGGCCCAGCTGGTGTCCTTTCCTTTGCTCTTCACTGTTTTCTGCTACCATGAACTGCTGCTCTCTGCCATGTACCACTCTGCCTGGGAGCCAGCAGAGTATAGACTGAAACCTCCACAAACTATGAGCTAAATAATTTTGGGTGTTGGGTATTTTGTCCCAGCAATAAATAAAAATAACTGACACAGGGAGCTTTTGGAAGATGATGAATCACAGGGCCTTACTCCAGGCATGAGGTCTGGTTCCTCCCCGTCCCCCCCTTGCTCCCGCTGCTTGTTTGTGAGCTTCTCTTCTCCGCCATGCCTTGCTGGCTTGGAGCCAGTGTAGGCAATGAAACAGAGCCAAGGCAAACCTCTCCTCTTTGAAGCTGTGGTTGTCCGGTATTGGGTTTCAGTGACAAGAAAAATGACTAAGGCAAGCAGTATTCACCAAACTAGGCACGTGCTGGCTAAAGAAATAAATCTCAACCAAATTCAAAGGTGTAAAGTTTTAGAGTATATTCTTTGATCGTGGTAATAAATAAAAATCAGCAACAGTATGATACCTAGGAAATGTCCATTGATTTTTTTTTCTGTATTTTAGTGAAGGGTCTACAGAGTGTTCAGGGTCTCAGTACTAGATTGGACTCAGTGATTCTTCTGTCTACAGCCTCCCAAGTGCTGGGGTTACAGGTGTAGGCCACCATGCCCAGTCTCAATCACCATTTCAGTGCACCCCAGGGGCAGGGCTGGCACAGCAGGCCCAGGGATCAAACTCCTGGGCCCTGGGCCCGCTTGCAGGCACTTTAATCCACTGAGCTATTTGGCTGACCCTTCCAAATCAACACTTCTAAATTGCTCCTGCATCAGAAAAAGGTAGAGGAGCTGGGAATGTAGCTCAGTGCCGGAGAGCTTGCCTAGTATAGGAGAGGCCCTGGGGTCAACTCTCAGTGTGGAGGGGGAAAAAAGCTACAAGAGAAAGAAGAAAATATTTCAAACTGAATAATAATGAAAAACATTAAGATTTATGGGATGCGCCTAAAGTAGTTCTTAGAGAAAGGGCTATCGCATTAATGCCTGTTGTAGCTTGTGTCTAGATGTCCCTCAGAAGCCTTGTGCAGTTTTAGATGGACCAAAGCCATCTAGAGGCAGAGGTGACTGACTCTAGAGCGTGTGATTGATGGTGGTACAATGCTGGGTTTAAGGGTGCTGGGATTACCAGTGGGTGATTGCTGGATTGGGCTGGAACCACCCTAATTCCAGCAGCCTGGATAGAGTAAGAGGCAGAAAGACACTGTTAAGAGTTGGTTGACTTTTGCTGTCTTTTGCCTCCATGAACTGTTGCCCTTCCGCCATGTCCCACCCTGCCTTGGAGCCAGCAGTTATGGATTGAAACCTCCACCAACTGTGACCTAAAGGAACCTTTCCTCCCTTAACTTTGGGTGTCGGATATTTTAGAGAAAAGTACCTGAAACGATGCCTGTAACAGAAGTGTATGGAGTAAATGACCTAAATCTTCAGCTTAAGGGCCTAAAGAAAATAACAGGTTAAACCCAAGGCAATTAGAAGGAAACAAAATAGACCAAAGTGGAAATCAGTGAAATAGGGGTCTGGGAGATAGCTCAGTAGATAGAATAAGCACTTCCCTGGCAAGTGCAAGGGCCTGAATTCAATCCCAGGTTCCTCAAAAAAAAAAAAAAAAAAAAAAAAGAAAGAAAGAAAAGAAAAAAGAAATCAGTGAAGTAGAAAAATACATAAATTATAGAGACCAGCAATAGTTGGTTTACAGCTTCCTAGCAAGCTAGTCAAAAAATAAACAGGAAAACACATTTCAATGTTAAGAATGAAGGAAGGGCCAGGGAGATGGCTCAGTGGAATAAGCGCTTCCCTGGCAAGCGTAAGGCTGTGAGTTCAATCCCCGGTTCTGCCAAAAAAAAGAATGAAGGAAGTTTTATTGAAGATATTTAAAAAGGTAACAAGAAGACTGAAAACAGGAGAATGACTACAAGTCCAATCTGTGTAGTGAGACCCTGTAGGCCCTGTTCTAAAATACATAAAATAGTAAATAAATAAATAGGTAACAAGAAGATTATGAAATAATTTGGTAACTTAGATGAAATGGATGGAAGCTTGCAAAACACAACTTACCCAAGCTTAACTTGAAATAGAATAAAAATGAATAGCTAGAAGTGAAAGCCTTGAATCAACAATATTGAATGTTTCCAGTCTCAGAGCCTTTCAAAGTTAGATTATATATGGTATATATGGTTTCAGCTTTTTAGCTGAAAACTAGCTTTTACTTTTTCAGTACATTGACATGTAAACACTTCCCCATTCATTTTGTGAGGCTATCATAACCCTAATAATACACTTTGGGAAAAGGCATTTCAGGGAAAGAAATTATAAACCACTATCTTTCATTAATAGAAATAAAAAATAAGTCCTCGGTGAAATATTACTAAATAAAATTCAACAACATGACTAAATGAGGTCTTTCCCAGGAATGCAAAATTGACTCTACCTTCCTGGTGGCGACACCTGTAATCCCAGCACTCGGAAAGCTGAGGCAGGAAGATCACTGCAAATTCAAGGCTACCCGGGCTACATTGTGAGTTCAAGGCCAGTGAGTTTAAACAAAACCAAAACCAAACAAAAACTAAGAATGTGGAGGGCAACTTTCTAAATCTGATGAAGGTAAAGCTACAGGTAATTATGTTCTTAAAGTCTGAGCGGAAGCTTGTAACCCTACTGCCTCAGCCTTCCAGAGTGCTGCGAGAGCAGGCATGTGCTACCATGCCTGGCCTTTAAACAGAGTTTTTGAGGTGTAGCTGTGATCTAACCTGTACTCTTTGACTAAAGTGAATGCCATTTTGCTTTCCAAATGTTGCTGTAGCATTCATTTTCTTTTGGCTAATCAATAATTGTTCACAGAGGTAGGATCTGAATGAGAAGGGGAAGTAATGCCACATCCCAACCCCTCTGATGCACAGAAGACTCCAGAGCTCTGTGCACGCTGGAGGCAGGGCCGGGAGAAGAGGCAGAGGTGCAGGGAACACTCCCACGTACGCTTGTACACCCTCACCGCTAGTCTTCATGCCCTGCCCCACAGATGCGGAGAATAGCTGCCAGCCGGTGCTGGAGACTCTGCGACAGGCCATGGACGGCACAATGTATGCCCCCAGCACACTGGAACTGCAGAACCTGCATCCTGCAGTCAACTTCCTTGCCACCACCACAGTGCCCGGAGGCTGTGGGCGCCCAGTGTGCCCGCGCCTCTTTCGACTCTTCACAGTGCTGGCCCTGGGCAGCATGACGCAGGCTACCCTGCTGAGCAGGCACACACCCAGCATCCAAGCCTGGCTCGAGCGATTTCCCTCAGTGGAGCAGGTGGGCATTCTGGGGAAAGCCCTGGTGCAGGCCTCGGTGAGTGCCTGGGAGGCTATGTGCCACTGCTTCATGCCTTCGCCCCTGCACCCACACTACCGTTTTTCTCTGCACTCTGTGAGCCACCTCCTGGGAAGCCTGCAGCTACTGCCTACTAGAGTAGGCACCCAAGTGCTTGAAGACTGTTTCTTTGACAAGGAGCACTTGTACCGGGTGTCTGGGTTGCGTGGCACTTACCTCACTATTATGATGACCATGCGCTGCATGTTGCGCCTTTGGTTGCATGAGGCACAGAGAACATTTTGTGATCGGCTGGACAGCCCCAGGGAACGCGCCCATTGTGCTAACGTGCTCCTAGGAATAGCCCAGAGTGTCTTCTGCCATGGGCCAGGGCCCCAGCACTTGGGCAAGGACCACGAGGAAGAGGAGGAGGAGGAAGAGGAGGAGGAGGAGGAGGAGCTGGTACCTGAAGTGGAATCAGAGGGAGAGCTGGCCCAGTGGGAAGACTTAAGTAACAGTGACACAGAGGAGGAAGAGGACCTGTATGGCCTTCAGGCCCCCACAAGCTCATACTCCAGTGATCCAAGTCAAGTACCATCCATAAAGAGAGTAAGCAGGGAGCCTAGGGAGAGCATAAATCACAAGGCAGAGCAGGGAGAAAGCAGAAGGACTTCTAGCTGTAGGCTCCAGTCAACAGAATCCACCACGTGGTGGCAGAAGGCAGGCCAGATGGACGCAGTTGCACCCTTATTGCTACCAGTACTACTACTCCGTCCCAAGGAAAAACCCTCAGACCTGGTCTTCTGTCAGGAGTTGATACTTGGGTCCAATTCTGAGGGCCCCAACTTATATCTAGAACGACAGTGGGGGAGTTTGGAAGAGCAGCTGGCCACTTCAGCTGCTCAGCTGAGACTCAGCCCCCACCTGGTGCGGAGCCGCCCCATGGTCCAGCATGTGGCCCGCCTGGTCCGGGTGCTGGCCAGGCCCCGGCAGCATAGTCTACTGCTCTCAGGGACTCTGGGTACCGGGCGCCACGTGGCTGTCACGCTGGCCACAAGTGTTTGCCAGGCCCGCCTCTTCCACCTGCCAGCTGGGCCCGAGGAGGCCATTCTCCAGTGTCTACGAGATGCCAGCTGGGATGCTGGAATGTTAAGCCACCCAGTGGCCCTGCTGGTGCCAAAGAGTATGGATCTCACTACTCTTGATCGGCTGGTGGCCCTGGCAACCACAGGCAGTTTCCCTGACCAGTACACACAGGCAGATTTGGACAGCATTGAAGAGCATCTCCCCAGGGAAAACCTTGGTATCAAATCTAACATTAAGAAGGAAGTGCTGTTGCAAAGGTAAGAGACAAAACCCCGTACCTGAGCCTGCTCTGCTGTTACTCCGTCCTGGCCACTAGGACAAAATAAAGCCCATGGGTTATCACGAGGGCTCAGAAGATGAGGGCCGAGGGGCCAGGGTTGCACCTGGGGCCTAGATGGGCAAATGGGTCAAGAAAAAAGACAGCAGCTGAGTTCTTGTCCATAGGTTCTACCAACAAGTATGTAGCCACTTGCACATGTTCTTCCTGGTTGAAGATGGCCAGGCCTCAAAGAAGCTGCCCTCTACAGTTTTTCTGAGGCTCCTTCAACTGACCACTACCAACATTGACCACTATGAGTCTTGGGACCAGGCTTCCCTGGTACGAGTGGCCCAGCACCACCTGCACGGTGCTGAAAGCCTACCTCTTGGTGATGGTAAGGGCCCTTTTCACCTGTCCTCACCACTCATCTCGACTGGGTTCTGAGGAGGGTTTTACCGTGGCAAGTCCTCTCTCCTTTTCTGTCTCTCTCAGCTTCCTTCACATTTTCTACCCTCTTTCTTAAGCTAGGAGCGGGTACCTTCCTTTCCCATTCCCAGAAGCTCACAGCCAGGCTAAAGCCAAGTCCATTGCAGGATCCTTCAAGTGCCCAGACCTCCAGGCCTCAGTTCCCAGTGTGGCTAAAGCCATGGCTCTCATCCATCTTTCTGCTGCCTACTACCATGAGCACTTGTGTCCTGTGTTGCCACTTGTCACCCCTAAGACCTTCTTAGACTTCCTAGATACTTTCCTGCTGCTGCAGCAGAAGATGATCCAGCAGATAAAGACAAGAGCAAAGATGTAAGTGACCCCATTCCTGCCACTTACTGCCTGCCTTCTGGGGTCTGCTCACTGGCACCTGTGCCCCCAGGATCCAGAATTCCCTGGAGAACCTGCGGGTTCTGGTGGAGCAGCATAGGATCCACACCAGCCTGGTCATCAACTTGGAGCAGCAGCTAAAAGACTCCCAGAAGGTAAGGGGAAGACTGGGGGACCTACGTAGGTATATCAGAAAGAGCGAGAGGGTACTGGGGAGGTGCCATCCAGAGTGAACTCCAGCTCGTGTTTTTCCTACAATAATCCTTTCCCTTGGGGGTCTCTATAGCCCTTACCACCTTTAAAGCTCAGGCTCAGGCTAAGGATATAGCTCAGCGGCATAAGTGCCTGCTTGGTAAATGCAAGGCTGGAGTTCAATCCCCAGTACTGCCAAAAAAGGAGAAGGAGAAGGAGAGGAAGAGGAAGAGGAAGAAGAAGCTGCTGCTGCTGCTGCTGCTGAGGGTTATGAAAATTAATTTGGGGCTTGGGAGATAGCTTGGCTGTGTAAGCACCTGCTTGGCAAGAGCAAGGATCTGGGTTTGATCCCTGGTTCCACATTCCATGCCAGCCCCAGAGCCCTGGGCATGCTATGCTGGCCACTGAAACAAGGTGTGGTCATGCATACCTGTAATCCCAGCACTGGAGAGGCTGAGACAGGAGGATCACTATGAGTCCAAGCTGGCTAGCAAGACCCTGTACCCAATGAATAAATAAATAAATAAATAAAAGATGTTTTTAAAAAGTATAAAGCTCAGGCTCAAAAGTTTCCCAGGACAAGATTGATTTTTATAAATCAATATGATACCCAGGCCAGGGAGATAGCTCAGTAGAATAAGCTCTTGCCTAGCAAACACAGGGTCCTGAGTTCAATCTCCAGTACCGCAAAAAAATCAATCAATCAATCAATATGATACCCAACTGCCTGCCTGTGGTGGCTCCTGGTGCCTCGACAATGTGAAAAGTCAATCTGTGCCCCGGATCTCTGTGTCTCCCTGTGAGGGATGGGGTGGGGATTACAGTCTCCCAGTCAACTCTTTATCTGCTCCTGCCTCCTCTCTCGCTGCTAGATGGCTCATCTCTTATAGCCAAACTACTTCCTCTCCCCACTTTGGCTTGTACTTCTTTCTTCCAAAACACTACCAAATTGGTTGGGCATGGTCTCAATGGATTAAAGCACCTTGGGTAGACTCAGGGACTGGGGTTCAATCCCCAGGGTACTGTGCCGGCCCCACCACTGGGGCACACTGAGACAGCAGTTGAGACTGGGTGTGGTAGCACACACCTGTAATCCCAGAGCTTGGGAGGCTGAAAAGAGAAGGATCACTACAAGTCCGATCTGTGTAGTGAGACCCTGTACTAAATACATTAAAAAAACAAATGGCTGGGCATGATAGCTCATGCTTGTAATCTCAGTACTTGAGAGGCTGAGGCAGGAGGATCAGCATGGGTTGGAGGCTAGCCTGGGCTACTTCATAAGCTCAAGGCTAGTCTGGAAGGAAAAAAGAAAAAGCACCCAGAAAAGGTGTGACTCAGTGAATGATTATTTTAAAATTTCTATTATTGTAAAAGACACACTGCCATGAATTCCTCTCAAAATACTTTCATTCCAAGTCAAACACACATCTCATAGTTGTGGCCACCTTCTGAAGTCTTTTACAAGGTGAGATCAAAAGTATGGTGAATGCTACTGCAAAGTACCATGCAGTGGAAAGTCAGACTTCTAAGAATATTAGCATGTCCTCCTCTACCGTACTCACGGGATCTACACCTGACAGAGAGGCAGGCACGTAAAAGCAGGAGGATGTGTCTTCCTCCTCCTTACTTGGTGGACCTGGTACTGTGTGACTGTTGCCTCTTCACCAAAATCAAAAGTGATCATGAAAATGTTTTGGTGGGGCCTGCTTCTTAGCTCAGTTGTTTAAGCGCCTGTTCATGCAAACACAGGCGCAGGGGACCTCAGTTTGATCCCCAGCTCCACATGCCTTACCAGACCTGCCTGTAAGGCAGCCTGAGCCAGAAAAAAAAAAAAAAAAAAAAAAAATCCTTAAGTGTTGGCCAAATAGCTCAGTGGATTAAAGCACCTGCAAACAGGTGCAGGGGCCAGGTGTTCAATCCCTGGGCCTGCTGTGCCAGCCCCACCCCCAGGGTGCGCTGAGACAGCAATTGAGACAGGGTGTGGTGGTGCATGCCTGTAATCCCAGCTCTTGGGAGGCTGTAAACAGGCGGATCACTACTAGTCCAATATAGTAGTGAGACCCTGAACACCCTGTATACCCTTCCCTAAAATACAAAAAAAGGAAGAAAGAGAAAGAAAGAAAGAAAGAAGAAAGAAAGAAAGAAAGAAAGAAAGAAAGAAAGAAAGAAAGAAAGAAAGAAAGAAAGAAAGAAAAAAGAAAGATGTGTTTGGGTTTTGTTTGTTTGTTTATTTTGGTACCAGGGATTGAACTTGGGACCTTGTGCTTGCCAGGGAAGCATTTATGCCACGGAGCCATCTCCATGGCCCATGAAAATGGTTTGAATTGGTTTTGGACATCAAGGCAGCTACAACACAACTAAAGACACCCAGGAAAATGACTCCCAGAACTGCTTCAGAAAGTATCAAAAACAATAATACAAGAGTGTACCTGTGAGGGGGGGGGGCGGGATTTGACAGGGATCATCCCAATGTTTTGGAGTTTTCTTTTTTTTGGCAGAACCGGGGATTGAACTCAAGCCCTTGCGCTTGCTAGGGAAGTGCTTATTCTACTGAGCTATCTCCCCGGCCCCTAGTATTCCTTGAATTTGGACTGGGTGGATTGATATGTTCTTTTTTTTTTTTTGCAGAACCAGGGATTGAACTCAGGCCCTTGCCAGGGAAGCACTTATTCTACTGAGCCATCTCCCCGGCCCCCTTGGGGTTTTCTTTGAGAAAAGTTCTTGCTATACAATTCAGCTGGCTTTGAGCTCACTATGTAGCCCCAGCAGGCTTGCGGGGATCCTGTGTCCCCCTGAATGCCGGGATCACACATGTGGGCCACTGGCCTGGCACGCAATGTATCTTTTACTGTTTTTGATACTTTTTTTTTTTTAATATTTTTAATTTTTTTTTATTTACGTGTGTGTGTGTGTGTGGCCAGCTCAGCCCACCAAGGGGCGGGGCTGGCTGGCATGTGGTGCTGGGGGATTGAACCGTGGTCCCTGTGCTTTGCTAAGCTTGTTCTAAGTAGGTGCTTTAGACCACTGAGCCATCTCACCAGCCCCTACTGTGATACTTTTTAAATTTTAAACATTCACTATATTTTTACATCATACCTTGTACACAAGTACAAGTACACTGTACACTGTTGTGTACAGTGAAGAAATTGAGATGGAGATGGTGAAAACTCACACAAAGCAAAAAAGTAGAAATATAGTTACCTGGTAGACTACTAAGGACCAGTGTCCTAATTTCCTTGTCCGCCCTCTTCCACTGGATGTTTCCCAGTGACCAACTTTATTCTTCCCTTTCATATCTCAACAGTTGGTCTGTAATGTTATTCAGACTCAACCATTCCATTTCTTCCTTCAAAGCAGTTTTTTCCCAGCCAAGAGCCCAAATCTATCTATCTATCTGTCTATCTATCTATCTATCTATCTATCTATCTATCTATCTATCTATCTTTTATCTATCTTTTCTTCTTTCTTTCTTTCTTTCTTTCTCTCTCTCTTTCTCTCTCTTCTTTCTTTCTTTCTTTCTTTCTTTCTTTCTTTCTTTCTTTCTTTCGTTATATAGAGCAATCATGCTCTTCAAATAAGTGAATTACTTATGTCTGGCTAAAGCTGGTGGGGTGAGGGTAGTACTGCCTCCTGTATATACAGCCAAGTATTGGTTGGGGGGGTGGTCTTCATGCCTCCTGCAGCTAAATTCACTCAGTTACAAGTGTTTTCTCAAGTTAAAGAGAAGTTTTATTTGGTTTGGTTTGGTTTGAACACAAGGAACTTTGAAATACAATGTTGTAGGGGCAACAAGATAGCTCAGAGGACTAACTGCCTGCTTAGGCAAGTGCAGGGACCAGGGTTCAATCGCCAGCACCACACGCCATGCCAGCCCCCTTAGTCTGGATGTGGAGGCGCACACCTAGGATCCTAGCGCTGGGTGCTAGGGAGGCTGAAAACAGGAGGATCACTATGTAGTAGTGACACCCTGCACCAAATACATGGAGAGAGAGAGAGAGAGAGAGAGAGAGAGAGAGAGAGAGAGCCAGCCAGCCAGCCAGCCAGCCAGCGTGGGCTACATAATGAGACCCTGTCTCAAACAAATGAACAAAATTTTTGGACTGACCTTTTTTTTTTTTTTTTTTATGGTACCAGGGATTGAACTCAGGACCTTGTATTTGCCAGGCAAGCACTTACTCCACTAAGCTATCTCTCCAGCCCCTACAAACAAATTTTTTAAAAGAGTGAGAATGAGTATATATGGAAGAGATTAAAGGAATAAGAGAACATTGAGAGGTCAGGTAGGAAGCTACAAAGGTCAGAACAGAGATCCTGAGTGCAAGTGATAAATGTGGATTGTGGGGGTGACTATGAAAGAAATTTAGGAGCTGTAATTAAAAGCCCTCAATGGGCTGTGGAGATAGCTCAATAGAATAAGCACTTGCCTAGCAAGGGCAAAGTCTTGAGTTCAATCCCCAGTACATAAATAAATAAATAAATAAATAAATAAATAAATAAATATTAATTAAAAAAGACCTCAGAAATGGCCTAGGTTTGGGGGAATAGAAGACATGGGGAGGGGGAAGGACTGGAAATGTAGATCAATATGAGGGTTCTGAGTTCAATTGCCAGTATTGAGAAAGAAGGAAAGAAATAAAGAAAAGAGAAGGAATAAAGGATGACAGAGGAAGGAACTGAGAAAGGTTAGCTAGAGAGGGTGGACAAAGCTTAAGGTGAACACAGGATATGATCTCCCTTCACAGAACCTCAACCTAGCCCAGCAGCAGCTAGAGCAGAGCAAGCTTCTATACAAGCAGCAGCTGTCAGAGTGCCGACATCAGGAGAGCCTCACTGAGACCCTGGTCAAGCAGCGGGATGCCCTGCAGGCTCAGCACCAGGCTTTCCTGGAGCAGGTTGGTCCTTCCTCCACCTACCCCACACTGCTGCTGTCTTGGGAGAGGACAGCCCCTTTGCAGGATGCACTAGGAGAGGATGAGGTGCTGGTGGAGTCTCTGGGGAGAATGGGCAAAGGGCACAGTGTGGCTCAGGGAGTGCCCCTCATGAGGCCTCCTGGGGGAAGATGCTCCCTTCTGGAAACACCTTGAAGAAAAAGCAGAGCATCTCAGGAGCCTGCTGCAGCGTGCACCTCTCCTCACTTAGATGGGCAAGGCGTTCATGGGTCCTTTGAGCCAGCTGAAGGTGGCTGACTTTGAAGAGATACGGAGCTACCGAGCACCCCCGGAGTCTGTAGTGCGGGTGACTGATGCACTGTGTGACCTGTTCCACTGTGAAACTGGCTGGGCCAGTGCCAAGCAGCTTTTATGCACTGAGGACTTTTATCAGGTAGCGCAAAGGAAGGAGTACAAGAGAGGCCTGCCAGGGCGACCGGGCAGGGCTGGAGTGTCGGTGGAGCTCCGAAGCATCGCATCTTCCCCTCTCCCCTCACATATCCTCCAGGAGCTGGTGTTCTTCCCCAAGGAGAAGATGACCGACGCAGAGCTGATAAAATTGAACCACGCTCTGAAGGCTCCAGGTATGAGTGACACAGCCCTGCGGACAGTCAGTCCGCCCGCAGCAAGCCTGGTGAACTGGCTCTGGGCCGTTCTGCGCTATGGGATGGCAAAGCGCCGGGAGCGGCCCACAGGCCTCCTGCTGCGGCAGGTGGATGCCATCCTGACTCGGGAGCAGGCCCGCCTAGGCCACTACCAGTTGCAGGCCCAGGAGAAGCTGGAGGATATTTTGACGTGGACTAAGAAGGTGAAGGATGCCCACGCTTTCCACAGTCAAATGCTGGGAACACTCACCCTGGCACAGTGTGGCCATTATAAAAAATGGCCGGTGAGGCCTGCGCTAATCACGCCCATGCACACTTGGACTACACAGCTGCAGGTATCCGGCCCCCTCCCAGACACCCCCCTCCTGGTTCATTTACATCCTGCCTCGTGCTCCCAGTTCCCTCACCCCGCTCTCCTCACCGTCCTGGCCACCATTCCCTGCTCGCTTTCCTTGTCAGACCCTCTTCTGTCCGCCCTCCCCGGCCTATATACTTCTGCTCTTCCCTCCACATCAGAAATTGAGGGGACACTGCTTGACCGTGTTTGGAGATGCTCTTGTGTGTTCAGCTGCTGTTGTCTACCTGGGTCCCTTCCCACCACCACGGCGCCAGGAGCTCCTAGACAAGTGGCTGGCCCTGTGCAGGGGTTTTCAGGAGCCCCTAGGCCCAGATGACGTGGCACAGGCACTGAAGCAGAAGCAGAAACCTGTCATCATGCCACCAAAGACTCCCCTGCTGCCCACACGCTTTCCCTTCAGCATTCTGTCCTTACTGAGCTGTAGTTCTGAACAGCACCAGTGGGACCGAGACCTGAAGCCCCAGGTGAAGTCAGCTCGCCTGGCAGGCCTGCTCCTGCGAAGCAGCACCCACTACCATAGTTGCCGTTGGCCTCTGCTGCTGGATCCCAGCAACCAGGCCCTCATGTGGTTGAGCCCACTGCCTCTGGTTGAGGACAGGTGCTTGGCATCAGCCAAAGGTAAGGCAGGGGTGGTAATACCATGCTTCGGGTGACTCAACATCTGGGGTCTTCCTTTCCATAGTAGAAATACTGAATTTTTGTAGCTAGGATATCCTAGATTTTATCAGCCTATCCTATATTAATGAATTTGGAGCGCCGGCCAAATAGCTCAGCCGATTAAAGTGCCTGCAAGCAGGCACAGGGGCTGGGGGTTCAATCCCCGGGCCTGCCATGCCAGCCCTGCTCCTGGAGTGCTGAGACTGGGCATGGTGGAGCATGCCTGTAATCCCAGCTCTTTGGAGGCTGTAAACAGGAGAATCACTACAAGTCCGATGTAGTAGTGAGACCCTGAACACCCTGTAGACCCTTCCCTAAAATAAACAACACCAAAAATAAATAAATTTGGTCCAATGTGCTTTTCTTGGCCTATAATGCAATGATCCTGATTGTACATGGGTGACCAAAATCCATGCTCTTCCACTTTCCTGGTCTGCTTGGCTCTCCTGGAAACCTTGCTCACAGCCCAGAGTCCTTACTGCTCAGTTTATCCAATGCTGAGAATTCCAAGGGAACATTTTTACTGAGTATTCTTGGATCATCTTAGTGGTGTGTTGGAAGACACATTTCCTAGGAGAAGGAAGAGAGTGTGTTTATTTCCCAGAAGATGGAATTTAGGGGACTAAACAAGTGAGGAAAATGTGACCTTATTTGGGAAAAAGTCTTAACAGATGTAATGAAGTCCAGAACCTTGAAAGGAGATCACCCTGTACATTATGTAAATGGGCTCTACGTCCCATGATAAGTATCCAGAAAAGACGGCCATGGGAAGGAAGGCTGACGTGAGAGTTATGTGGCCACAAGCCAAGCGCACCTAGAGGCACCACTGGGTGGGAGAGGCAAGCCAGGAATCCCTCTTCGAGGCTCACCAACACCTTGACTTCTGCCTTCTGGCCTCCACAACCATGAGAGAATAGGTCTCTGTTGCTCTAAGTTTGTGATAATTGGCCCTGGAAATTAATAGACATGTCACAGTTGCAAGATGTCTGCTGCCTTAAGTAAAAAACCTTCCAGAAGCCTGAATTGTCAAATGTGGTAGGCAGAATTTTGGGCCCTGCGACCTTTGCCTTCCAGTATTACTCTCTTGATCATGTTATATTATATGATACACAAGACTTCGGAGATATAATGAAGTTACTAATCAATTAACCTTAAGATAGAAATAGATTATCCTGCATTATCTAGGTGGTTTCCATGTAAGTGAGTGAGACTTTCAAGCAGGAAAGAAAAGCCAGGCATAGTAGCTCGTACCTACAATCCCAGGCCTCTGGGAGCCTGAAGCAGGAGGATCCCAAGTCCAGGCACAGCCTGGGAAATTTAGCAATTCAGTGAGATCCTGACTGAAAAAAAAAAATTTTTTTTTTATTTAAAAGCTGGAGATATAGTTTAATCCCCAGTACAAAGGGAGAAAGCAGAAGAGAGGAAAGAAATCATGAAAGTTTAAGGAATTTTTTTTGGGTTTTTTTTTTTTTTTTTTCTACTTCAGGCTGCCTTAAGGGCAGGTCTGGTACAGCTTCTGGAGCTGGGAATCAAACCGTGGTCCTATGAACCTGCCTGCCTTTACCTGTGTTGTGCTTTAAATAACTGAGCCATCTGGCAAAGCCCCTCACAAAAATATTTTTTTTGCTTTTATTTTTATTTTTATTTTTTGATAACAATAAAATTCTTCATAGGAAAATTTGCATGGGTTTAGGTACACAATTTCTGTACAAGTATAGGCAGACATCATCAGATTTGTACTATCACATACATATGTTATATTTATGTAGTATTTCAAAGCTTGTAGACCAAAAATGTTATTTTTTTTTCAATAATACACTGCATACATTCTTCCCAGTGGTTAATTGCTGTACAAGATGCAGACCTGTGATCCTACTTACAAACACCATTAGAACAAATCATTCTATTCATTAAGAGAATGCAACTATATATCTATCCCAACCACTTTGAATACACAGATACAACATGGACATTCATAGTTATATCCAAATTTCTTTAAGTTCTGTTGTTGAATATTATAGGTGTGTAAACTCAGCAAAATATTCTAAAAGAGTCCAGTAGCCCATAATAGCATTGGGTCTTCTGTTTAACTGGCAATGTCAGAAATTATTGACCTGAGTCCCCCACAGCTCAACCAACAACATGGCTTTACTTCCTATATTTCGTCTTCATACTTTTCTACTGGATGGTTAAGACCAAGGTAAAGCAGGACCTGCCCTCACAAAAATTTAAAATGCAAGAAACATTCAAAGAGCTGTGGCGGGTTCACAGATAGAAGGGGCCACAGGGCCACTGTGGGAAGGAAGTGAGCTCTGTCAGCAGCTGCCAAGAGCCAGGTGTGATGGTGCAGGCCTGGCGTCCTAGGGAGCTGGTGGGTGGGAGCAGAAGGGTTGCTTAGCCCAGGAAGACTTTGAAGCTAGCATGGGAAACATAGCAAGATGCTGTCTTGAAACAAAAACAAAAATAAAGCCTGGAAAAGTTCTCAAGCTGCATAGGAGCCCTGTAGCCCAGCTAACACCCTGATTTTAGCTCAATGAAACCCTGAGCACAGAAGCTGCCTTACCGGCAGAACTGCGAATAAATGGGCCTTCTTTCAAAGTGTTACATTTTTGCTAACTTCTAGCAAAAGATAATGAATGCACCACACTGCTGTCCTGGCAACCTCCACTTTCAAGAGACCCAAAGGTGGATCAGGGGAAGCGTTTATCTCTCGCAGCTCCTGCCCTGCAGTCCAGCTTTAGGCCATCCTGGGCAACAGAGCAAGGGGGAAAGGCGGAGAATGGCTGTTGATTAGCGAGCCATCTGTGTGCACCACACTCCCCATGACTTGGCTAATTCCACAATGGATGGCCTTTCCACTTAGAAACCACCACTGCAGCCACCAATTTCCACATTGCTGAGGCCTCTTTTAGTTGTTAGTGGCAGAATTAACTCAGGTAAAAAGGAGAAAGGCTTGGATTCTTCCAGCCATCCTCCAGGAAGGGCAGAAATGGAGCCAGTTTCAGAGAAGGCTAACCCTTCTGTGGAATTTAGAGCCACAACGCCAGCCAGCACTTACTGAGCACCCACTCTATGCCAACCCAAGTGCTGCCCATGTATCATGGCACCGAAGCTTCATGGTAGCCCTTTGAGGTCATCATTAGTATCAACTCGATTTTATAGATCAAAAAAGTACATGACAGAGTTTGAACAGCCTTCCTAAGCTGTCATCTTGCAGCCCTGCCTGCCCTTGCAGAGCACAGCCTCCCTCTGAGCTGTGTGTCCCTGCATCTCTCCCCCCCAGGCAAGGGCCCCACATGGGATCCAGACAGAGAGACCCAACAGGAGGCCTCCGGAGAAGATGATGATAATGAAGAGAGCTGTGAGGCTGAAGAGCAGCTGCAAGCACAGAAGGCAAAGGAATGGGGAAAGGAGGAAGAGGAAGAGAAAGAACATGTGGGGGAAGAGGAAGAAGAGGAAGAAAAGAATGAACATGAGCCAGGGAGTCAGGGGTTCAAGCTCGCCCTTGAGACTCAGTGTCCGCCTCCACTGTGCCTCAGTGTGCTTTCAGGCACTGACCCAAACTTGGGTCCTCGGCTCTGGGAGGCCGCTGCCAGTGGTGAGAATCGGTTCCCACCCACTGTGTCCCCATTGCACTGCCCCGGTTCAGTGATCTCACAGGCTCCTTATGCCACACTCTGAGCTCAGCTCTTACATCCCCCACTGTATTGGAGAATCTTTAGGGAACCTGGCGCTATGGGTTGGTTGTCCTGTTTCCCTTCACAGGGCAGCCTGTGCTCCTGACTAACGTGGAGCTGGGCCTAGGGTGCCCAGAACTGCAGCAACTGCTGCAGCGGGAACAGCTGGATCCACCACGGGTGCAGCCTGGCTTCTGTCTCTACCTGAGCACTACCCTGCCCCTCGATGCCCTCGGAAAAGGTGAGACCCAGAGGACAAGTGCTGATGTCTGCTCTGTGGGCACATTAGGCACCCAGTGCTTCATTCATCCTGGCCCAGAGCAGGCTCAAGGGAAGGAATTAAGCACATTTCTTGTGACGCCCAAGTGCTAGGTGGTGAACTGCTGAAGGGGCTGAATGTCCTGGATCTGGGCCTAAACTTGGAAATACTAGAAAACCAGACACTACATGAAGTCTTGTACAGAGAGTGTCCTGAGCTTGAGATCCGCTGGGAGGACCTAAAGGCCAGAGCCCTGGATGCCTGCGAGGCCATAGAGGCTAATGAGGTGCTTGGGGGCCCCACCCATGGACAGGTTGAGCATTGGAAGGGCACCGGTAGGGTGGGAGAGATGAGTGTAAATGTTTGGACACTGCGAGGAAGGGCCAGATCCATCCAAAAAAATCACTATGTGCAGGAACAGTTGCTGATGATGCTGCTGTTCCAGAATCCAAAGCATCGGAAACCCACCAAGTTTCTACGGGACATTGTGAGAGTCCAGGCAAAGATCTGTCAGATGCAGGCCGATTATGAGGAGCTGAAAGAACAGAAGCTGCAGGAGGTGGCATCGTGGGCACCCTACCAGCAGGTGGCTTGGCATGGAACAGCCATCGTAAAGACCCTCAGCACACTACAAAACTCACTGCCCTTTTTCCGTATGAGTGCAGAAAACTGGCTGGCAGCAATCAGACAGGCTCTGGATAGCATGAAGCTGCATGATGTACAGCACAGGAAGGACCTGGCCAGCCACTTGCTGCAGCTGAAAGCACACCTGACCCGCCAGCTGTTGGGCAGGGCCCTGACTGCCCTGGGACTAACACAGGTGCCCTTGGTGGGTGCCTTGGGTGCTGTGGCTCTGCTGCAAGTGGCGGAGGAAGCACCAAAGTTGGAGAGGCTGGCGCTCTGGCCTGGCTTGGCAGCCTCCCCTAGTATAGGCCCCTGGAAGTCAGTCCCTGGTGTCGTTCGGCCGGCCTGGCTTACACCGAGAACCTGGCATGAATGTGGGCTGTTAGAACTGTTGCCCCCATTCGTTGGGCTTCGGGCATCCCTGGCAGACCACTCCAGAGTTTGGCAGGATTACCTGTCACTGCATTCTACAGTGCTGGGCCCTGCACCTGGGCCCAGGTTTCAGTCCCTCAGCCTCCTCCAGAAGTTGATCCTGTGGCGCGTGCTACGACCCGAGAACCTAGCAGGTGCCCTCGCAGACCTTACCACCAGCCTCCTGGGCCGGCCTCTGGATGAGAGTCTGGGTGTTCCCAGCTTGCCCTTGGAACGAAGTCAGGCTACTCAGCCCATACTGATCTTGTTGCCACCACCTGGCCACCCCTCAGTCACCCTCCATCCTCTGACTGTCATCCAGAAACTTGCTCCCACGAATAAGCAGGTTTGAACCTTGCCTCTTGGCCACAGAGTGACTGGGACCCTGTGGGGAGGGGAAGAGGATGGGGACCCCACTCAGCATTCTTATATGGATCGTGGATTACAAAATTACATTAGGTGTCACCCTGAGACACTTTGAGTCACTACCACCTTTCTGCTGGTGCCCAGGGACAAAAGCATCTGCAGGTGATCGCCCTGGGCTCAGAGGCCTGGAACCCAGCCTCGGATGTGGTCAGCACCCTCCACCAGGCCATGCTGGAAGGCCAGTGGTTGGTGCTGGATAACTGTCATTTGATGTCCTGCTGGCCAAAGGAGCTACTGCAGCCCTTGCTGGGGCTCTTGGATGGAGCCGAGGGTAAGTGTGCTGCCTAGAGGGGGTTCTAGTATCTGAACCTGCGCTTGGCCTTGAGCTTGAACTCTTTGGACCTTGGACTGATCCTCTCACGGCAAGTCTGTCCCCTGGGCCCTGTGTCTGACACCTGCTCTCCCAGTCTTAAGTGTGATGCCCAAACCGATGTGTGACCAATGATCTGAGGGCTCATCTCAGCCTCTTCTCACACCCTAGTGGTCTCAGACCCGGAGCAGGCTTTGCTTTCAGCTCCAGCCGAAAGCAGGAATGTGACCACCGTGCACAGAGATTTCCGTCTATGGCTTATTGCACCTGCAGAAGCCAGTGCTTCATTGCCAGGTGCGGAACATATCCCCTATCCCCCAATGCTCTCTTAAACTGGAGGGGCAGGTGTGGTGGCACAAGCCTGTAATCCCAGCACTCAGGAGATAGAAGCAAAATTGTTGCAAGTTCAAGGCCACCCTAAGTTATGCAGTGAGATCAAGGTTGGCCTGAACTACATACTGAGACCCTAACTCAAAGAAACAAAAACAAAAAACTGGAGGAGGGAAGGTGACTGTGTAGTGCTGACTCAGCACTCCCCTTCCTTCCCAGCGGTGCTGAGTCAGCACTCCATGCCTGTTTTCTGGGACCAGTCCCTGGAGCTGGGTCACGTCTTGATCCACAGTCTGGAGCTGGCCCAGCAAGGAGTGCACATCCAAGGCCCTACCCGGGTACTGCCTCTACTGCTCCTGCACGGGCTCCTGCTGCACCGGCAGCTCTATGGGGCGAGGCTGCAGGCACACCGGGGGCGCTGGTGAGCTGCCGCCTGGCGGGGGTGGGGGGG